CAGATTTATACTAGTGTGAGGATAATTTAGAATAATTTTGTTGTATTTAGAATAATTTATTTGTTCTTATTGATTGAAAAGTAATATTATTTGTAATAATAACTTTAATTTTAAATATTGCTCGTAATATGATATATTTAAATAATCTATATATAATGAACATATGTCTAAATAATTTGAATTTAGTTATAATTTCTTTTATGAAATATATGATTAATGAATTTGTGATTATTATATATATTAAAATATAACATTTACGAAGAAAATGAGAATGTTACTTTTGAAGGATAAAGATATTGGTTATATGATAATTACGTGTCAATAACAAAATTAAAAAAATATATGTCAGTGTTATTTTTAATAAAAGTCTTTCTGTTTTGCCACAAGTATTAAACTTAAATTTATCACAATCACTTGGTAATGTTAGTAACGAAAATGAGAATATAATGAGAGCAAATATATTATTAGTTCACATTATTACTATTTATATTTATATTTATGTAAAACATGTATTTGCATCATAACAAATTTGAAAAATAATTATAATAAAAAAATTTGAAGATGATAATAAAAGTGAAATGAAAATTTTTCTAATAAAAATTTGAAAGATGATTTTGATTCAATTTTGAATACAAGACAATCAACAATGATCAATAAATATTTATGACATTTTAATAAATTATTTTTCACTAAAATTCATACATAATTTATACACATGACCACAGTAAACAACATATACGAATTTATTTCAAATTCAAGAGCCATTTAATATTTATTTCCAATATTCAAATATTATTTTCACTTTAACCTTCCTTTGCAAAATATGTTGAATGGAGCATATCGTTATAAGCCTTTTCAGCTTCAAGTTGTGTTTGGAAGAGGTAATTAAAATTTTTAAAGAATTTAAAATTTCAAGAAATTTAAATTATATCTTTTAAATTTTTATTATTTTAAAATATTTTGTTTAAATAAAATAATTGAATTTTCGTTATTTTAAAATTTTCTAGTTAGAGTAATTAATTAAATTATTTACATTTTAAAAAATAAAATTATTACTATATTTAACAAAATTAATTAAAAATATGAAATTTAAATTTTTAAATTAATCATAATTAAATAAAAATTTGAAATAAATAGAAAAATTAATTCCATATTATCATTCATTTATTAAGATTTAAAATTTTTGGAATCTAGTCTATTAAAAATTTCCACTAAAATTCTTAAAATTTTAAATTCTTTAAAATTAAATATCCAAACAAAAAATTTTAACCCATAAAATAATGAATTCTTTCCAAAGAAAAAAAATGAATTGCCCATTTAAAATATTTCATCAAAATACACTTTTGAAAATTTAACACTCCATCAGCTTCCAATTTATAAAAAACCATTTCTATGTCTCAGAATTCACCACTAGCTACAAATTGCTCATTTCCTTATAAGCTTCTAATTGTTTTTCGGTAAGCCATAAAAGAAAAGAAGAAGAAATGTTCATACTCAACCAATATATTCATAAGCCTATACATAACCAATGACTACACAACTACTTCTCTTGTTCATACACTCATAGAACAACCATTCATATAATCATTTATTGGTGAGAGGGAAGAGCATATTTTTAATTTTTAAAATGAAAAAATTATATATCATTATAATAATAAATATATTATTAATATATTAAATTTATATTAATATATCAATTTCCAAGAGAGTAGATTGATAAAACAGCAAAAAAATTTCTCCAAACAACAAAATTTTCTTCTTGTGAGGAGCGCTCCAAAGCCTCCAATTTAGAATGAAGTGTTTTTCTATTTCAAAATATATAATTCGCATTAATGTATCATAAATTATATTTAATGGTTTAAACTTCATTCAATCAAACTTTAAACTAAAAAATTGATTATTTGTTTAATGCAAGGTCTAAAATATTTACACATTTTAATTATGTTTAATAGTTCAAAATCGACTCATTTAAAACTAATTTTACCAAATATTTTTAAAATATTTGGTAAAATTAGTGCTGTTTCCGATCCCTCTCTCCACCCTCAAAATCGCTATAAAATATTTGCTATTTTTATTTTTTCTATTTTAAATTATGAAACTATATATTATTTTTATTCTTAGAATTTATACAATAAGAAATAAAAATATTTTTATTTTACTATTTTAAAAAAAAAAATAAAAAACTGATTAAAAAATTATAATAATTTATAATTAAAATAAAACTAAATTTTCTTAAATTTTCTTACTCATTTTAAAAATTATTCTTTTAATTTTTCTAACTTAAGCATGATATGCTCTTGTCCTATCTTATGATTAATGTACATGTCATTTTTTATATAATTTTTTAAAAAATAAAGTGAATATCAAATTTTAGATGTCCTCGTTCATGAAAAAAAAAAAACTCAAAATATTTTTTTGTATTACGCAAGTGACACGAGGTTAATGTTTGAGATGATAAAAAATATTAATTATATTAAAATAATAATATTACTCTTTTATTATAATTAATATATTTTTTGAAAATATTTTTTTTTTAATTTTTTAATTTTTAATATATATTAAAAATTAAAAAATTATGTACATATAATATTAAATTATTATAATTATATTCATTTTTTATAATTAACTTATTTCTAGCTATGAAATTATAATTAGAACACAAAATTATAAAAAAAAAATATATATTTTATAAAATGATTAATATATTGTTTACATATTTTTTTTAAAAAAAGATACATTTCTTAAAAAATTTTAAAACTCTTTTAATTAAAAATATTCATACAATTTTTTATAAAAAATATCAAATTTAAATATTTTTAAATAATTATTTTTGATAAAATATTTAAAAAAGTATAAAATATGAGTAAAAAATATAATAAAAAAAGTTATCTTATTTTCATGCTTCCTAATCCATCACATTTTTTATAATAAGAATTTAAATTATGATAAAAATATATAATTAATTAATAAACATTATAGAATAAACAATGTTATTATGTTATTTTATAATAGAATTTAAAAATATTAGATAAAAGGATGAATAAAAGTATAATACAACAAAAGTTCTTATTCTATTTTATGTTTGGTATCTATTAAGATAATAAAATAGATAGCATTGTATTAATGCTTGAAATAAAAAATGCAATGTGGGTATTTAAGAAAAAAATAGTGTTGTTACAGCGAGTTCCATGTTGATTAGGATACAGTTGAGAGGTGTTATGCTGCTGGTGAGAAAGTTAAACTGGCCAGAAAAGCTCAATAGTGTGACTGACTTTCTTTTACGAGAATCCATACTGAATGTTAAGGCAAATTATCGTAGGTAATGATATGGTTCTATTGGAATCAGATGGTCTAGAAGATCTGTGGGAGGTTATATATATCATTGACTGGTGTCATCTTTGTATAGTGGTCATTAATAGGAGAACGTGGGTTCGTTTGTAAGGCATGCTATGTCATGATTGGTTAGAGGCATTCTTTCGGACGATAGTATCACTACTTAGAGATTTTATATGCATGGATGATGATACGATGTCCTGAAGACCCATGAATTTTGCAAGAGTTCACCTATGAACTCAAACACATGCATTAATTAATAAGATCTAAAGATTCATGTTAATAATCATGTGTTCTCAATCCGTATGGTCAAGGAACATAGAGAATTCTTTCAAGGAAGATGGTGGTATCATAATTTAAATACTTAATTGTCGAAGAATTATGACGATGCTTCATCGGATTCGGATTTGGAAACTTTGGAGGATGAAAGTTCAGATGATGGTGAGAAGGGTCATGATCTAACAACAAGAAGCGCAAGAAAAAAAAATAGTGACCAAAGATGGTGTGAAGAGCACGGAGTAAGAGGAACAGCTGAATTATTGAAGACAAATTTTACGTGAGTTTATGACAGACATTACATAATATCAAGAGGAGTTTAAAAGTATAGAATCCATGAAATATCAAAATCTATGGAGAAGGTAATAGATGCGCGAATGAGAGAGAATTCAAATTATGAAATTAATATCAATAATGACTTAATTTTCAATTATAATGTATATGTTGTGCCATTGAGTGAGGATGTGTTTGAAAAAGGGGCTGACTAAGATGGGTCTTTGTTGGTCAAAACTTATGAGAAAGGAAATTAGTGAGACATGAGAGCTCATGAAGGATTGTGGCAATTGGTTGTTATTGACAAGGAAGCAACTGGAGGCAAGGATGTGGTATAGAAAGATTGTATTGACAAATATAATAACTTGATTATTAGACATTCTCATGAGTCAGATAAGACTAATCACATATTGAGTCAAAGACCAGATTATGAAATTCTCCTTAATCCAATGTTATTGTTGAGGTGGTAGTGCAAGAAATAATTAATGTTAAGAGTGCACCTTACAAAGCCAGAAAGAAAAAGGGATCAAAGTTTGGACCAAATACTTAGAATATGTATCTTAGAAGCTGCCTTGTAGCAAGGCATTTGGAAAGATTGATTGTGAATCAGATTAATGATTCCTTGACATATATTGTTAATTTTTAATTTCTTCTAGAGTTGTAAGAGGTTAGAGTATTCTTTATACTCTAAATTTATCTTTAATAAAATGTTGATACTTAAGAAAAAAAAGAACTGTTTGAAATAAAAAATAAAAAATAATATAAATTATATTTAAATAATAATATTATTCTTTTATTAAAATTATTATAATTTTATTTAATTTTTTACAATTAATTTAATTTTAGATAAGAAATTATAATTAGAAAAAAATTATAAAAAATTGAAAAATATATTTCATAAAATAATTGAAATGTTTTCACCTTATATGTCCATCAAACAAGCCTAAGAGAGTATATAACAAATTTTTATTAAAGATAATATAATTTTACCAAATTTAATTTCTTATTTATTAATTTCTTCAAAAAAGATGTTTTTTTTTTCATACGACGTTGGTTCTGCCCAAGTCGTTGGTTGCGGGTGAATGAAATCGATGGCAAAAGACTTGAAACTCCAAACAAAACAAATGTTGCGTTCAAAACCAATGAAGGTAACGTGCATTTCTCTTCTTAAAAGCTGCAAATCCCTGTCTCAGTTGAAGCAAATTCATGCCCACATATTCGGCGTGGGTCTGCAACAAGATAGACACACCCTCAACAAGCTCATGGCTGTTTCTATGGACTCATCAGTAGGGGATTTTAACTATGCAAACAGAATCTTCGACTGTATTCATGACCCCGCTTTGTTTGTCTACAACCTTATGATCAAGGCTTTTGTGAAAAGGGGTAGTTTTAGAAGGGCTGTTTCTCTTTTTAAGCAATTGAGGGAACATGGGGAGTGGCCTGATAACTACACCTACCCTTTTGTATTAAAGGGTATTGGTTGCATTGGAGAGGTCAGTGAGGGGGAAAAGGTTCATGCTTTTGTGATTAAGACTGGCCTTGATTTTGACCCTTATGTGTGTAACTCTTTGATGGATATGTATGCTGAGTTGGGTCTAGTTCAGGGGTTCAAACAGGTGTTTGAGGAAATGCCTCAGAGGGATAAGGTTTCTTGGAACATCATGATTTCGGGTTATGTCAGGTGTAGGAGATTCCAGGAGGCCATTGATGTTTTCCTGCGAATGCAAATGGAAGGCAATGAGAGGCCAAGTGAAGCCACAGTGGTGAGCACTCTGTCTGCGTGTGCGGCGTTGAGAAATGTGGATCTTGGTAAGGAAATCCATGGCTACATTGTGAATGAACTGGGCTTTACTACTATAATGGGGAATGCATTGTTAGACATGTATTGTAAGTGTGGATGTGTGAGTGTGGCCCGGGAGATTTTCGGTGGGATGACTACGAAGAATGTCAATTGCTGGACCAGTATGGTTACTGGGTATGTGAATTGTGGTCAGTTGGATCAAGCTCGGGATTTGTTTGAGAGAAGTCCAACTCGGGATATTGTTCTTTGGACAGCTATGATTAATGGGTATGTGCAGTTTAATCGTTTTGAAGAGGCAGTTGTGTTATTTGGGAGGATGCAAATCAGAGGGGTGAAACCGGATAAGTTCATTGTGGTTACTCTCCTTACGGGGTGTGCTCAATCTGGAACTCTGGAGCAAGGCAAGTGGATTCATAATTACATTGATGAAAACAGAATCACGGTGGATGCTGTGGTTGGTACTGCCCTTATTGAAATGTATGCTAAATGTGGTTGCATAGAGAAATCTCTGGAGATTTTTAATGGATTAAAGGAAAAGGATACTGCCTCGTGGACTTCAATTATTTGTGGACTGGCCATGAATGGTAAGACAAGCAAAGCACTTGAGTTATTTGGAGCAATGGAAACATTTGGATTAAAACCTGATGATGTTACCTTTATTGCTGTTCTGAGTGCATGTAGTCATGCAGGGTTGGTTGAAGAAGGCCGCAAGTTATTTCATTCCATGTCGAGTATATATCATATTGAGCCAAATTTGGAGCACTATGGATGTTTCATTGACCTTCTTGGTCGAGCAGGACTGTTACATGAGGCAGAGGAGTTGATAAGGAAGTTGCCAAATCAAAATGATGAGATAATAGTTCCACTGTATGGAGCTTTGCTAAGTGCCTGCAGAATTTATGGCAATATCAATATGGGTGAAAGACTTGCTACAACACTAGAAAAAGTTAAATCTACTGATTCAAGTCTTCATACACTTCTTGCAAGTATTTATGCTTCTGCTGACAGATGGGAAGATGTGAGCAAGGTTAGAAGTAAGATGAAAGACTTGGGAATAAGAAAGGTGCCAGGATGTAGTGCCATTGGGTGAATGGCAGAGGTTGAGTGGGGACCATTTCCCATTTTCAAACCGAGATTGGTCTGCCTACACGGGATAGGTAATCAGCTACTGATTTTGCAATCTTTTAATCTGTATCATTGATCTTTTGACTGGTAAACACAATAAAGCAGTTTCATATTGAATATGTTATTTGGACCAGGACACAACTCTGCAATTGTATAAACTTTGCCTGCAATCCCCGAATGAGGGATGTTGTGTGTTTATGGACTATGGAGCAAAACAATTGGCTACTATCTATTGGGGGTGAATGGAGAACTCAAACAATGCCTCATGTCTTACTCCTTGGAGAATCTAGGAGAAAGTAACAGATTTGATCATCAACTCCTATTATTTTATACTTCACTTTTTTGCATGGACAAAGCTTATCGCCAATTATTAGCACACAGGCTTTGCAAATATTATCCTCATTTCCTCTTTGGGATTATCACAGACAGTCCCTCGTGTCTTCCCTCTTCATTCAGAATTTCAGGTTATTTTCAGGGTGTGTCAGGTATGTTTTCTTCATCCTTTCTGCTGCTTAAGGGGTGTGCTCTATTCAGCCAAACTTAACAGATATAAATAAAAAATAAGGGATCAAATTTAGTTGAATTATAAGAATTTCATTCCCTCTTTTCTGTATCTATATGAACTTCTATTGTAATGATGCTTGCAATGACCAAATGTATAAATTATTGAATCAACATGAATATGTATGTTTACAGGATTTTTATACTTAGAAAGTTAGCAAAGTATGTCAAAGCAGAAAGTAACTTCCCTTTTTAACCAATGTTTTAAAGTCGATTGTATTCATAGAATGATTAGTTCAATTCTGCTTCAAAAATGGAAATTTTAAGCATCTCTCTTGAAAAGTCAATTGGACTCTGTAGGATGAGGCATTTGTCTAGATAATTTACTCCCCAAGTTTCAGCATACTCCCTCTCTCTAAAAATTACAAATCTGTATTTCATCTGAGATATCATGCCCAAGTTTCTCAAAATTGAGTTTCAAGGTTGGATTGGAGGAGGGTTGTTGGATTGTAGGAGCGATGGATCATAACACAACTCATAAGAGTCAACTAAAATACTAAATTATATTTAAACACACATTACATGCATAAAAAACAGCATAAAGAAGAAAAATAACCGTTACATAACAAACATTTAATAAAAATTCAATTAAAGATACATAAAGTCTTAATACAACTCACAAGCCATTATAAGTGTTGTTGAGAGAAAAGAAAGAAAAACATCAGATGAATCCATGTGTCATGACTGCACAACAAAACATATATTTATAATAAGGATCATTAATACAAAATATATAATCATGTAGTTACTGTAATTACAAAGATACTAATTTCTATATTTATAATATTACTATAATTATTTAATTCCAACATTCCTTAGGAGCATATAAATCATATGCATCAAACTTGTCACATATATATCTAATTCAAGGACTTATTAAAGACTTGGTATAGACATTTGCCAATTGATCATGAGAATTTAAAAAATTAGTAGTGATGTCTTCAGATAAAATCTTCTCTTTAATGAAGCGACAGTCTGTCTTAATATGTTTAGCCTATTCATAGAAAATTGGATTTGACCCAATAATAAAGTTATTTAATTATCACACATAAGTGTCATCTATCTAATTTTTTCAAATCTCAATTCTTTGAATAGTTATTTAAACCAGATAAGTTCACAAGTGGCTATAGCCATGGTTCAATACTCTGTCTACACTAAACCTTGCAACTAAACTTTACTCCTTGCTTTTCAAAGAAACCAGATTTCCACTAATAAAGATGCAATAGCTAGATATAAATCTCCTATCACTAGGTGATTCTACCAAATTTGCATCTGAATACCACACAATCTAAGTATGACCTTTGTTTTCATATAAGAGACCTGTTCCTTGAGTTTCTTTAATATATTTCAGAATGCAGATTATTGCATCTCAATGTCCATCATAAAGGAAGTTAAGGAACCGACTCACCACATAGACTGAAAAGTCAAATAGTTTAATTTTCAACAAATCTTTTATACCTTTCTAGATCTGAAAGTGGCCCTCCCTGACTTGACAAAAGTTTGATATTAGGATCCATAGGAGTTTTAACAGGTTTGGCCTCCATTAATATTGTTTTCTCTAGGATATCCATTGCATATTTCATCTAGAAAATCACACCACCACTCTTGGATTGTGCCACCTCAATCTCCAAAAAGTATTGAAGTTTGCCAATATCTTTTGTTTCAAAGTATTGACAAAGGTGTTGCTTTACTTGTTCAATGTCATGGTTATTACTCCTTGTAATGACAATGTCATCTACATACATAATTAAGTAAATACAACCAGAAGTTGAATGACAATAAAAAACAAAGTGATCTACTTCACTTCGATTCATGTCAAATTGTTGAATCACCATACTAAATTTACCAAACCATGTACTTGGAGATTCTTTGAGACCATAAAGAAATTTTCGGATATGACAAACAAGTCATGAAGACTTCCCTTGAGCAACAAATCTAAGAAGTTGCTCCATATAGACTTTTTTCAAAATCATTATGAAGGAAAGCATTCTTAATATCAAGCCGAAAAAGAAGCCAATTACGGAGAGCAACCATAGATATAAGTAGCCGGATAGATGTCATTTTAGCTTCATGGGAGAAAGTGTCATTATAGTTCAAACCAAATATCTATATATAACTTTTGGCCACCAAATGAGCCTTAAGGCAATTAATCTAACCATTAGAACCAACCTTGACTGTACAAACTCACCCACAACTAACAAGAGACTTTCCAAGAGAAAGAAGAACAAGTTCCTAAGTACCACTATTCTTAAAAACACACCTTTCATCAATTATTGTTTGTTTTCAACTGGGATGAGAGAGAGCATTGTCTGTAGATTGAGGAATAGAAACAAAAGATAAGGAAGACAAACAAGTGTAATGGGAAGAAGACAAATGACTTAAGTGAGAATGGTTTCAGATAGAGACGAAAGGAGCCATGAGAAGAGAAATTGATCCTATTGCTCCCATTGTTGTGAGCTCTTGTTAAGTTTTCCAATGTTTCACTCTTCAATGAGAAATCATAGCGGAATCTCAAAATTAACAACAAATCGATGAAAGCAATAAACTTTAATCATTGCCTCAACTTGCTGAGTGGAGCAGTTATTGTGTATGGCTAAGTCAATGATGTGACTATCTAATTATATGTTGTAATGGAGGTTGGAGAGAGGTAATGGGAAGTTTTATGCAGTTATAGAGCAGAGAAATATTCTCGGTAGGATCCTTGCCTCTTGATCTGTTCTTAAACAATGTGTTGTTTGAATTTAATAAAATCCTCCTTTCAATTTTGAAGTAGTGTTCTATCAGAATATTTCATGTTGGTTGTATTACTGGTTTTAACATACTCTTAAATTATAACTTAGTTCTATCAATTGTCTATACCTTATGTCGCTTTTTAATTACTATTTATGCTTATAAACCTCTTTTATCTATAAACTATAGTTAAATGTTGTTTATGTGCGCTTTTATTTGCGTCATTAATGTAAACTGTTTATTGTTATGTCTATTCCATTTTCATATGAATTATATGAATAAAAAAAGTGTATTATAAATTAACTCATCGATATCCTCATGTTATTCAAAAGGATAACAAGCAACGCTTCAACCTCATAGAAGAGAATGGAGAGCTACTAACACGCACAAACCAAGGTTACACACTAATGGTAAAATATTCCCTTTTATCAAATGTTGACACATACAATTTGCTTTCAAAATTTTGAAGAAATAATTGAACTTAAATAATTTGACCTATACTCTGCAACACATTCAATTGGTAATGCATCTAATTTTTTGTTGAAATTTTCTTTATTCATTGTCTTGTTTAGATGCCAAAAAGGAAAAACTTTAATAAGTAATAATACTTAATGTCTTGCTTCAGTCTCTCTTTCCTTTCTTTATTCACTGCACAAGCTTTGGTTTTCTTTATAAGAACTTTGAATTTGAATAACAATAGATATTCATAAGTGAAGTTTTACACTGTTAAATCCTTCATTTCATGATTAGTTAAAGTTCAAAGCAAATTAGATATGATATTGTTAGTACAGAAAATAACTTATCTTTGACATGTAAGTAGCATGATCTGTTGTTCCCTTACCTTTATGTCTTTGGAGTTTAGGTAGTGTTTGGCATGCGAATAGAATGGAATGGAATGGAACAGTCTTTTCTATTCTGTTCTCTTTGATTCCATCCTTTTGCTGGAACCAAAATATGCCCCTTTTTAACCTTAATGTCATGTTCTGCAATTACACCAAATGTTGAACAAAAGCCATATGTTATGTTCTGTCATGTTTTAACCTGCGTACCAAATGCTACCTCAAGGTTTATGGCGGTAAAAATGGTGAATAGGTTCAAACAAAGTAAACACTAGTTAGAATAGGGATTGTGACTGCCAACGTTCTAGCTTGCCTATTTCTCCACGTCAATTTAAAATTAGATATTTTCATTTCATTTTGGTTAGACTATCTAGTTTTTGGAGAAACTTTTCAATCAAAGTTTTTGTACAATCGGTCACTTGAGTAATGTATGAGATCAATTGTGATTGTATTTTGCTCGTGAACTCATAACCTATGCATCTGTCTAAATTTCTATGTTTGTGCAGTGATTGCTCATATAAATTTTTTTAGCATGAGTTTTATCTCATTAAACAGAGAAGGGGAGGAGGGGAATATTCTTTTGGGGGCAAGATTTAAACTTTTTCTTGGTAACCAGCGGATGACAAATATTTTAACTCGGAGAATGTTGGAAGAAAGTTCAAATCAACAAAGTAGAGGCCTTTCACTTATCAGTTAACAATTCCACTTTGTTAAGTTGTTAACAGCCTATGGTTAGTACGTAGTACATGCATATGGTTAGTAGCTGTCAAAATCATCACATCTATTTTTAGACTTATATTAGAGTATATTTAGTCATTGAAGATTCTTAGGCTAAAGCATCCTAGTGTCTTGTATTTGCTTGTCGTTGAACGTGGGGAAACAAAATTAGGTGACATATAAAATGTTACTTCTAAATTAAGTAGTTGAATAACTTAATTATCCATATCAATAACACCTTAAGGTCTTTTGATCCAATTTTCAAGGCAATGAATATGAATTTATATATTCCCGATTTATGCTGAACTTATAGAATATGCCAAACAAGGCCTAATATTACAAATTTATCATCTTAATATTGCAGATACTAGAAAGCAACAAGAAAGACGTGGGACTCCTAAAATCAAATAATCCAAACCAAGCTGAGTCACCTACTGATCTATGGAAAGGAAATTCTCATTTTGTCCCTATTGGATTGAAAATCTTTGGATATATATCATTCAAGAATTTTTCTTTATTATTTGACTAGGGTTAGAATAAGGTCCACTATAAGATTTGTAAAGTCTCCAGTCTGACTTTACTGGGCCACTAATTCTGGTGTCCACAGTCTTTCCCTTATTGTTAGCTTCAAAAATCCTACACTTATTCACCAAAATGGGCAAGTCTGTCAGCTGAAAAACGCTGACTGCAGCTCGTATCTCTGATTCAAATGCACAATAATTTGAAAAATAACTCAATTTAAAAATACAAAGTATTATTATAAAAGGCTTTTATAAACAATATTTCTAATGCTTTTGCTAAAGATTCAAGTAATAAATGCTATTACAAATTATTACTTAAAATGAATACTATAGGTCTTTTAATCAATACATATTTTAAACACAGCTAAGTTTTATAGCAGTTCTCCATCCATTACAGCTCACAGAATTGGGTGCTAATCGTCTTCGTTCCTTGAAAATATTATGTAGGAGTGAGTCTTTATCCTACTAGACATACATCACATAAAATTACCTTGACACATAACACATATTTTCTTACGATAGAACACTTATCATAAATCTCTACATCCTATCACAATTTTTCACATGTTGCAACATGTATATATAATATAACAACTTTCATCATAAACATTTATATCACAAATTTCATCACATGTAGGTTCATTACACATTTAATTCACACACGTGCGCTCACTGCACGTCTATCCACACTCACTGTGGCACTATGATCAC